TTGAAAGAGTGAAACTATCCAATGAAGTTTTTCTTTAAACCAATACATTTTAAAGCAGTTCAAAAAATAACATTATGGGAAAGAGGTTTAAACTAACAAATGGGATGGAATGGGTTAATGTAACAGGCAGATGGATTACAAGGAGTTAAGAAACCAGGTGATGCTAAGAGCAGCTCAATAATTCAGGCAGCATTCACTGATACTGAATGTTAACACTTGAGCGCTGGAAACTGCCATAGGTAAGTTATAATGGAATGTGACAGAAGCTGCAAGATGGCATGTGGTACAGTAACACCTGGATCTGAAATATCTATTAATCTTGGAAAACTGACATCTGACAATATTCATCAGGTGCTTTGCCAGCTGACGTAGATGAGTAAGCTTCTTCACATTTGATCTGCAACTTCTTCTTCTTCTTCTTCACATTCACCGGCTGTAAATTCCAGCTGAAAATTGTGGCTGTCCACACTGGACTTAAGTCTTGTTCCAGAACCTGAGTTTTGTGTGTGCATCCATTTTATACGTACGCAGGATGTTGGTTCCTTGCCTCTCGAGCTGATGCACTCTGACTTCAAAGGAAACCCCCAATTAGTATACTCTTACAACATGCTTGTCAAGGAGGCAGTGGGTCTATTCTTGTTTTTGCCACAATGGGTATCTGGAACCCACATGGCGAAGAGATCTGTAACTTTATGTGTTAGTTACAGATTGGCTTTTCTCCATGCCAAGATGAAGGACTGTTAAGAATATCTGATAGCTCTCTTTCCCTTAGCCTTGGTAGCATAGTGGACAGATGCTCGACTGACAGCTAGAAGATCTAGGGTTCAAATCCAAATCGAGGCAGCATATTTTTCCAAACTAACTTTGGCTCCCAGGTCGACCGAGCCTAAAATGGCTGCCAGGTAATGTCCTGGGAAGTAAAGGCAGCCAGCAGGATACTGACCACATCAAGCCATAAACTGCCGATTGATCTATAAAAAATAAGTTTAGCACTATATGCCTTATGTGACAACAGCATGAAAAAGGTACTTTACATATTTTTTTTTTGGCTCTCTTCCCTCTCCTTCTCTTTCTTCCTGTCCTTCTTGCTCTCTTTTTCTTGCTATGTCTAACACTCAATATGTTTCCATGTGCAAGATATGATGCAAGAAATAAACATTTTGCTGATTAAATGCAGAATGTTTTTCTTTCTTTAAGTATTCACCCTTCTCTTGTATTTCACCTTTAAACAGAACACAGCCCTTCAATGAATGCACAACCTGTTTCTATGCTTGTTAAAGACTTGTTGGGTTACACAGTTTTATAGAGTGACTGGGTTTTACAGCTTTAAGGAGTGACTAGGTTTTACAGCTTTACCAAGTGATTGGATTTCACAGCTAACGTCTGTCTCATATCAAATATCCTTAGTCGTCTTTTACAACAAGCACAATATGCTACAGTGTTTATTATTCTTGGTTTTCTGGTTTGCTGGAATCTTTCCATCATTTGAGACAATAGCGTTATTTTTGTGCTATCAGAAGAAATGAGAATGAAATTCCTCCTCTTCATAGCACAAAAGCCTGGGGAGTATTGTAGAAACCATATACTTCCCTTGTGAGTCCTATTTTAAGACAGTTGGTTGCCTTTGGTGCAGCATGTATATTTTAGGTGTTTTAATTTTTTTTTTAAACTAAAATGTACCCAAAAACAGATATTCTCTGTTAAATACTCTGTAATGTGTCTTTTCAGGTTACATAAGAACATACGCAATAACATACTTTTTCTTGTCTGACGTGACAATAATGTGGTGGAATTGTGAAGTTATATGAAGCTCAAAATGACGTTATGGGCAAAAAAGAAGTTCAAAAACTTAAAACGGTCCTTATGAAAATGTTCTTGAAATTTGCCCAGACAGATCATTGCTTGCTTTCTTGTGATACATTCAATACACACACAGTAACATAGAAGAACAAAGAATCCCAAATTTCGCAAACAAGGCAAATAAATTTAGGTTTATATATGTATAAATTCTATAGCAGAATACCTGGATGGAAAGTGAGAAAAAGACCAGAGAAGATATATGCAAAAAGTGAAAGAATCTATTCATCAAGCCACTCAAGACACACAAGACAAATACAGAAAACCAGAACACTAGTCTACAGTCAGGTAGCAGTGTGAAGATAAAAGAAGTGGAAGAAGAATGCACAAATAGAAGTTTAGGCAAAAAGAAAAACAAAAATGTGTCAAAGCCACATCACAGAGACATTGAAAAACACAGGGACTCCTTTCTTACACACAACAGGGGACAGCTGTTGAGAGCATGAGACTGAAGAGTGGCAAGATTAGATGAGATAATGCCATTCAACGGATCAACATCATGACATACGGGTGTAACACATAAGTGCTCCATTCTACTTCTAACTCAAGCCTGTCTGAAGAATCTTAGTGCAGTGCACGAACTCCACTGCACCAGTGAGGTTCCTGAAACACTTTGGGTAGATTTTTAACTCCAAGTTTTGCCCTGGCAGTGCCGTTAGGCTTCTCTTTTTTGATTTCCAACTGCTAAGGCCTTTTTAACATGTGGAACAATACACACCGGCTTCCGATCTTACTACCCAGAGACCAGGGGAAATTACTAGAAGTCAACATAAAAGGATCCCAGCCTTTACCGGGGTCTGAAGCTGGGACCTCCAGAACTTGAGGCAGATGCTATACTTCGAGACCACCTAGGCCCCTGCTTCCCCTCCCCCCCCCCCCCCCCCCAAGGGTTAAGTAACCTGATACAAATGGCAATTTACAGACCAACAAAGTAATTGGAGAGGTAATTTAATTAACTGAAAGTAAGTAGAGATTTTTATTAAAACCCTTGCTGAAGTAATAACTATAGGAACAGATATCCAATACTCAATACATCAGGGTCTGATTTCCGCAGTGGGCAGTTTTTTTAAAGGGATAAATTGCACTGACTGTTTCAGACAGTGGTATGAGAGTCACATCATGGAAGAGTTTATAGCCTCACTGCTTAACCCTTTTGCCCCAAGAGTGCTTTAACAAAAAATGGGTCATAAACCTGTAGGAATTTCTGGAAAAACCTTTAAAAAACAACTTTTATATAGATAACTAACAAATTGTTTTTAAAAGTTTTTAACAATTGTCAAACTTTGATGTATGTATATATATATGTGTGTGTGTATATATATACATATATATATAGTGACACCATTTGTCTATATGATTGCAGGTTCGAGACAGTCATGCGCAAATTACCATGAGTACTCCTAAAATTTATCACTCCGCTGAACTGAAACATATTTAGTGCTAACTAAGCCTACAATTACTGTGTCCGCAATATTTAAACCAGTGTTCTCCAACCTTTTACCACCCGCAACCCACCAGAAGTGGGAAAATTGTGTTCTGGCCCACCTGACATCTAACCAAACACAGACACAAAAACATCTGTTAAATCCTACGTCACATAATTACACATTTCAGCTGAGGCAGCATGTGAACAGAAAGAGAATGCAGTAACATTCTATCAGAAGAAAAGGGCCATCCAGTCTATCAGAAGTGCACACAGTCTGGCCAGAAATGACTACCACTTACTTGACCAGTATGGGCAGGTCATCATTCTACGCCTCTGGACAGGACATAACAAACTTAACAAGCATATGTAGAAGCTTCATCTAAGTAGTCCACCACTGTGTCCTTGTAGTGCAGACTACAGAACACGTCCTGCAAGAATGTCCCTTGTATAACCCATTAAAAAGGGAATACCCACCCAGTGAGTCAACACTGTACTCAAAGTTGTATGGAACTCAAATGGAACTCCTGAAAACAGTCAAATTTATCACAAGAAATTGTCTGTTGGTGTAAATCAGAAAGCGAATACAGAAGAAGAAGAAGAAGCTGATGCAACATATTTTTATTCTTATCCTTGATGTTTTACTACTACAGACTGCAATCCTGGAAGAGATAAACAACCTATCCCACCCCATTACATGACTGGGAAAAACTGCTGCTAGCCAACCTGGCATTTTCCACTTCCCTCCAGTGGGCCATGGCCCACCTGTTGAAAAACACTGATTTAAACTGTACAGAAATGTCCATAAGCAAAAACTCACTGCTGTTTTTATTAGAGATTTTTCCACATAATCGCAGTTCCAAAATTACAGAAAATGTATCACCCCGTAGTTGCTCCATTCCTGCACAAACAAAAACCACACTGAATGTCCATCACTATCCCTTGTGAAAAAAAAAATCATACTGATTTCAGTCTTAGCAAATCCAACTGCATACACGTGCATTTTATGCATAAGGTAGTCATCAGAAGTGCCAAGACAAACAGTCTGACACTAGAAATGCAGTTCATCATCGATGGAAGCAGCAGTTACAGCAGATAAGCAATTATTCGCATAAAGCTCCACCAGTTCTCTGACTACAATCTGTTCATCATTTTATGAATCTACAGTTCACAGAACAAACCATGGTGTATACAGTCAAAATGCATTACAAATGAAATCTGCAGCTCACAGTGTCATGCCATGAACTCAACTCAATAGGTGGGTGATGGAACTATATCCTTTCAACCTACATATGGAGGAAAATGCAACAGCTAACCACTGAAAGTCATGGTGTAGTGGTTAGGCGCTTGTCTGTGGATCGGAAAGTCCTGGCGGAACCTGACTTTTTAAAAAATGACCTTAGTTCTCAGGTCAACCCAGCCTTGAGTGGGTACCAGGTATAGTCCTAGGAAGTAAAGGCGGCCGGCGTGATGTTGACCACATCACCCACCAAGTGCTGATTGGTCTATAAAATACAGGTCTAGCTTTATATGGTCAATACGCCTGAAGGTGTGGAAAAGGGGCCTTTACTTGCTTACTTTACTGATAAAAGATAAAAAAACATCATCAAACACTTAAATCCAAACTGACATAGAAAACCTCTACCCTGACTCAATCAAAGCAGACAGAAATCTCAACTTGCTACTCAGCTCTCCAAATAAACAGACACAGAATACATACCCGCCCATGCATCTGTTTGTACTTCTTCTCAATCTCTAGTCGCTGAGCATTACAATGTGATGTCAGGACTTGAATAATGGCATCCTCGTTTGTGCCTGACAAAAATGTAACAATGAAGTATAACTTAGAAAAGAATTAAATAATCAAGTCATAATTTGTCTTATACAGCATCTACTTTTTCTTTCATACTATACCTGTGTCCAATATGAACACCTTAATCACTATAAGATCTTTAAAAGTAAAATTACCCTTTTCCATGCCTTTCAGGTGTATTGAGTTAATAGGGCAAGACCTATATTATAGAGACCAAACGGTACTTGGTGGGTGATGTGGTTAGCATAAAGCCGGCCGCCTTTACTTCCCAGGACTGTAACTGGTACCCAATCAAGGCTGGGTTTTCCTGTGTGGGTTCCAGAACCTGAGTGTTGTGTATGCATCCGTTTGACAGATCTGACACATTTGTGTGCAAACTGTTGGTTCTTTGCCTCTCAGACAGATGCACTCAGACTTTGAAGGAAGCTCCCAATTAGTTGACTCTTACGACATGCTTTTGGGTAGGCAGTGGGTCTATTCTTGTTTTCCCTATAAAAAGGCCCAGGTTAATGTGTTATCTCTGTAGATGTCAATAAATTTCCCAGTTTTGTAGAAAACATTTTAGGCCTTTCCCTTGCATAGCAAAACCCAATTTAACCCCCCCCCCCCCCCACACACACACACTTGTATGCAGGCATGTACACATGCACACAAACACACACCCACACAGAATATTCTTGCACTGGAACTTACATGGACAAAGAAATAAAGGCCAGACAGACAGACACACACAGACAGACAGACAGACACACATAGACAGACAGACAGAGACAGGCAGGCACGCACACACAAATCATTCTGTTCCTGATTTTCTCCCTCCAGACATCATGGCTCATGACATTCTGTTCCCATGAATCCACCTCAATACTGGCATCATTCATGTCCCAGTTGCAAACATCTTTATTACAAACACAAAGACCTCCACAAAACAAATGCAAAGACTAGATATTTTAACTTACCCAAGCCTTTCATAGCCTTCCTTAGAGCCTCAGCTGCCTTTTCTGGATCAAATGGGTTAGCTGGCTGGACAGTGCCCTTTCAAGAGAAATACAAGAAGGAAGTTATAAGACTTGATCCCTGTGTGGATTGCCATTTTGTGTGTGTGTGTGTGGGGGGGGGGGTGGAAGAAGCATCGGGGGGGGGGGGGGGGGGGGGGGGGGCTATCACCCTCATTGCAAGCATATTGTTAAAAAGCGACTAATCACGGGTGTTTCATTTTCTAAGATGAGCAACCAGAACTTTCAGGGTACCATCGGTATGGAAATTCCTCATTGGCTGTTGAGGAGAGAAATGGAACTAATATGTCCTGAACACTTTAATGCCCAGTCTTTCCTCAGATAAACTCACGATTAAAATATTAGCTCCCAGGTCGACCTAGCCTAAAATGGTTAACAGGGTAATGTCCTGGAAGTAAAGGCGACCAACAAAATGCTGACCACATAACCTACTGAGTGCCCATTGGTCTATAAAAATATGAGTATGGCATCATATGCCAGGTGCGCCATTGGTCTAAAAACGATCCTTTACTTTTATTAAAATGTAATCTCAGACTTGTACTGATTTAAAAATAAAAAAAAATAAAAACTAAAAATTCCTTTCTCTACACTGGACTGAACTTTAACCATGGTCATCTTGGTAAGTTAGGGAACTAACTACTATGCCACCATAAATGTATGTGTGTGTGTACTAGGGCTGTACCAAATAGTGATGTTAACTATTCGGCCGAATCAAAAAGTGGGACCAACTATTCGGCCAAATGCGAATAGTGAATCATCATCATCAGGTGACTTGCCGACTGGCGTGTGCGATCATGCCTCTCCACAATATGCTATCTCCTGCAGGGTGTATCAGTTCGTGTGCTGACACACCTCCATGCCTTGCAACAAGACTGTCAAGAATCTTCTATCATTGTCTTCCTCTATCCCTCCTTCCACAGATCTTTCCAGTGGTCACCAAATGTTCCATTTCCCCTATTCTCATAACATGGCTGAAAAATGACAACTGTATCCTTCTGATGTCTGTGATTAGTTGTCTTCGGGCTCCCGCCTCTTTCAAAACCATCGTTCGCTCGGCCGTTCGTTCGATGTAATATAAACACACCTTCATATTCTCGTTAGCAATATCTTCAAATTTGATTTGGGTGAAGACACCCTGAAAAAACAAAAAATGCATGATCTCTCTCTTTCTCCCTTTCTCTCACACACACAGACACACACACGCACGCACACACACAATGCGGTTGGCATTTTATGCAGTTTGTACCACACAACCGGGTTGCAGTTTCCCCCGCTACGACAGACTAAGGCAACAGAAACTATTGTGTAAATGAGAGAGTTATTTCAGTCCATCACAGTGTATGCAGAAACGGGAGTAAGGTAACCACTATTCGTATTCAGCCTGACCGCAACTATTTGGCCGAATACCGAATAGTTATTAGGTCTACTATTTGGCCCCGAAGCGAATATGAAGCAGCTAGACACTGGTTTGCAGATTGGAAGGTCGTGGGTTCCCTCCTGACTTTGTTCAAAAATGACCTTGACTCCCAGGCTGATGCAGCCTTGAGTGGGTACCAGGTGCAGTGCCGGGAAGTAAAAGTGGCCAGCGTGATGCTGACCACATTACCCATTTGGTGCCGATTGGTCTATAAAAATATAGGTCTAGCCCTATATGCCTAATGGGACCTTTACTTTTTTGTAACCACCAAAACAGAGCAAATTGTTTCGTGGCCCACTTGACAGCTAACCAAACACGTAACTAAAGCAAATGTAAACAGCACTTTTTTTGTGACATCCGATGTCACAAAATTATCATATTCATCTCATGTGACATATGCTGCTGCTGCCTGTCTGGGTTTAGGGTCGCCATTGTAGGGAAAACATAAATAGACCCATTGTCCATTCCAACAAGCATGTCGTAGAAGTCGACTAACTGGGGAGTTCCTTCGAAGTCACAGTGCATCTGCCAGAGCGACAAGGAACAACTAATTGCACACAAATAAGCCAATAAAATGGATTACGCGCAAAAGCCAAAGTCTAAATGGAAAAAATAACCATGACTTTCTCCCAGAGCTTACAGCGGGTGAACAAAGAAGAATATGCTGTTGCATAGAGGTTAGATAATCTAACCGTTATGTGACTGGAGCATTGTTTATGATAAATGAATCTCTGCAATAACATCCATCTGATTTTTCTGGTTGGTTTTTAATAACTTGATTTATTTGGCTGAATAAGGTTGCTGGGATTTGCACTAGTTTGATGCTCAACCTTGAGATGTTGATCCTACAGGCTGCAAAGTAAAGTAAATAAAGGACCCTTTTCCTCGCCTTCAGGCGTATAGGGCATATAGGGCTAGACCTACATTTTTATAGACCAATCGGCACAAGATGGGTGATGTGGTCATCATCACGCCGGCCGCCTTTACTTCCCTGGACCCACTCAAGGCTGGTTGGACCTGGGAACCATCGGTATGGAAATTCCTCATTGGCTGTTGAGGAGAGAAATGGAACTAATATGTCCTGAACACTTTAATGCCCAGTCTTTCCTCAGATAAACTCACGATTAAAATATTAGCTCCCAGGTCGACCTAGCCTAAAATGGTTAACAGGGTAATGTCCTGGAAGTAAAGGCGACCAACAAAATGCTGACCACATAACCTACTGAGTGCCCATTGGTCTATAAAAATATGAGTATGGCATCATATGCCAGGTGCGCCATTGGTCTAAAAACGATCCTTTACTTTTATTAAAATGTAATCTCAGACTTGTACTGATTTAAAAATAAAAAAAAATAAAAACTAAAAATTCCTTTCTCTACACTGGACTGAACTTTAACCATGGTCATCTTGGTAAGTTAGGGAACTAACTACTATGCCACCATAAATGTATGTGTGTGTGTACTAGGGCTGTACCAAATAGTGATTTTAACTATTCGGCCGAATCAAAAAGTGGGACCAACTATTCGGCCAAATGCGAATAGTGAATCATCATCATCAGGTGACTTGCCGACTGGCGTGTGCGATCATGCCTCTCCACAATATGCTATCTCCTGCAGGGTGTATCAGTTCGTGTGCTGACACACCTCCATGCCTTGCAACAAGACTGTCAAGAATCTTCTATCATTGTCTTCCTCTATCCCTCCTTCCACAGATCTTTCCAGTGGTCACCAAATGTTCCATTTCCCCTATTCTCATAACATGGCTGAAAAATGACAACTGTATCCTTCTGATGTCTGTGATTAGTTGTCTTCGGGCTCCCGCCTCTTTCAAAACCATCGTTCGCTCGGCCGTTCGTTCGATGTAATATAAACACACCTTCATATTCTCGTTAGCAATATCTTCAAATTTGATTTGGGTGAAGACACCCTGAAAAAACAAAAAATGCATGATCTCTCTCTTTCTCCCTTTCTCTCACACACACAGACACACACACGCACGCACACACACAATGCGGTTGGCATTTTATGCAGTTTGTACCACACAACCGGGTTGCAGTTTCCCCCGCTACGACAGACTAAGGCAACAGAAACTATTGTGTAAATGAGAGAGTTATTTCAGTCCATCACAGTGTATGCAGAAAAACGGGAGTAAGGTAACCACTATTCGTATTCAGCCTGACCGCAACTATTTGGCCGAATACCGAATAGTTATTAGGTCTACTATTTGGCCCCGAAGCGAATATGAAGCAGCTAGACACTGGTTTGCAGATTGGAAGGTCGTGGGTTCCCTCCTGACTTTGTTCAAAAATGACCTTGACTCCCAGGCTGATGCAGCCTTGAGTGGGTACCAGGTGCAGTGCCGGGAAGTAAAAGTGGCCAGCGTGATGCTGACCACATTACCCATTTGGTGCCGATTGGTCTATAAAAATATAGGTCTAGCCCTATATGCCTAATGGGACCTTTACTTTTTTGTAACCACCAAAACAGAGCAAATTGTTTCGTGGCCCACTTGACAGCTAACCAAACACGTAACTAAAGCAAATGTAAACAGCACTTTTTTTGTGACATCCGATGTCACAAAATTATCATATTCATCTCATGTGACATATGCTGCTGCTGCCTGTCTGGATTTAGGGTCGCCATTGTAGGGAAAACATAAATAGACCCATTGTCCATTCCAACAAGCATGTCGTAGAAGTCGACTAACTGGGGAGTTCCTTCGAAGTCACAGTGCATCTGCCAGAGCGACAAGGAACAACTAATTGCACACAAATAAGCCAATAAAATGGATTACGCGCAAAAGCCAAAGTCTAAATGGAAAAAATAACCATGACTTTCTCCCAGAGCTTACAGCGGGTGAACAAAGAAGAATATGCTGTTGCATAGAGGTTAGATAATCTAACCGTTATGTGACTGGAGCATTGTTTATGATAAATGAATCTCTGCAATAACATCCATCTGATTTTTTCTGGTTGGTTTTTAATAACTTGATTTATTTGGCTGAATAAGGTTGCTGGGATTTGCACTAGTTTGATGCTCAACCTTGAGATGTTGATCCTACAGGCTGCAAAGTAAAGTAAATAAAGGACCCTTTTCCTCGCCTTCAGGCGTATAGGGCATATAGGGCTAGACCTACATTTTTATAGACCAATCGGCACAAGATGGGTGATGTGGTCATCATCACGCCGGCCGCCTTTACTTCCCTGGACCCACTCAAGGCTGGTTGGACCTGGGAACCAAGATCATTTCTGAAAATAGTCAGGCTCCGACAGGCTGCAAAGCTGGAAGAGAAAATCTACCTACTCTACACCATTATATGAAAAGACAAAACAGTTTTTTGGTAGCCTCACCTGGACATTTCCAAAGCCCTCCATTGGGTTGTGAACCACCGGTTAAAGAACACTGATCTAGAGGGCCCCAACTCCATAAGAACATTTTTAGAGGGCTGAGCCTCCTAAAAAGATTTGTAACAAGTCTAAACAACTCCTTCTAACCATGTACAGAGATAATCATTTAGGTATTCATATATTTCTTATGATTTTAATTTTAATGCAATATTATATTTATTTGCCAATTAGCAGTTTTATTATTACTGTACACTTTTGAGTCCCTTTTGGAGAAATTAATAAGATGGTTGAGCTCCCCCTTCCCCCCCCCCCCCTTTCCTTTTCTGGTCCCATCAATGTGTTTGTGTTGGCACTGATGCTCCACTCTTTTTTAAGTATATGTACTTGAGCATGAGATCTAAGCTAACTCAAGCCAGCCGAAACTATCTTTTATAATTTCCAGCAGTTCACTTCATTACCTCAATAATATTAATATTATTCGGCGAATTCTCTTTTCCTGACGAGGTTTTTGCGGTGTAAAACTAGTAAAAGTGGTTAATGTTATCAATTTTTAATGTCAAAAGTTTATAAACTTCACTAACTTTCAAGTCTGACTTAATTAACTTGTTAACATTAGTTCTTATTTGTTAGTATTATAAAAAAAAATTATTTAATATCGTGGTGCAGCAAAAAGATCTTTGGTAAATAACGTTTGCTGGTGTTTCCTATCTGCGCTCAGAATTATCTTTATGAGCTTGAATCTACAAGTCGGGAAGTGAGAAGGCGTTGCCTGCAATCAATCTTTTCCTACTTAACTTAAATGTTCGTAGTCAAAACCTAGCTTAAAACAAAAATTAAATTAACTCACCCATTGAGTTGGATAAACGGGAGGAGGTATTGACATTTTCAAAGCAACAAACTGGATGAGAGAAAGTCAAAATGTATATATTTCCACAGAAACTGTTGAGGCTTTATACACTCCGGTAACCTTGTTTGAAAAGTTTCAATCGATTGAAGCTGGCGTCGGCAGTCGGCAGACGTCGCTACGTCTGCGCAGTTGCTGTTTGAATGTGCTAGTTGAATTGATTGCAGCGGGAGCTACCGGAAAATGAAAAGGTGTGGTCGACCACGGTTGTTACTTGATCATCGGGTCGCCAATTGGCTTGCCGGTAGACGACTTCGTCGCCAGTCGGGACAGTAAGTCCTTTTCAGGGCGTGGAATACTACGCCATTTTATATGGCACACATACACTAGTCACAATGCTAACCTATTGAATACTGAATGAAGAATCGACATCACAGCACTCGGGACACTCCCATAAGTGCTCCGTCCCCATCGTCAGCAGCAAGCGTTCCAATTCCTATGACACCAGTAGCTGTCTGATTATATATCCGTCTCATCCTTTCCCTGAGTTTTGAGCGTCAGCCACATCCCCTGGTAACTCCTTGCAGCACCATTCTCCTCAGACCGTAACAGTGCATCCACACTGTTCACTCGTTCCCGAAGGGCTCTCACAATATCTAGCTTGTCATACACAAATTTACCCTTAAGTGGTGCAGAGCCGGCTAGTCTATCTTTTTGATCATTTCCCAACACACCAGCGTGACCTGGAGAAAATATCCAAAGGATGCCAACTACCCGGGACCTCTGAATTGATGCTTGTCACTATGCACAGAGTTTGCCTGAATCCACCTTTCTCAACATGCTCTGTGAGTCAGTTACAATCACGGCACGTGTGTACAGCTGATTCTCAAGCTAGCAGAAGGCAACGGAGACGGCCTCTACATCCATTCTCACACTAGACTTTGTGATATCACGTGCAAGGCTTTTCTGCACTGAGCAACGTCTATTCCATTTTGCTATTTCACTGAAGTGTACAACAAATTTAAGATTGGGCAATCAGCCATGTGTACCTGTGGACTGGCACCTGCGACAACAGATCACATCCTCCAAGACTGTCCTAGATTCAAGGCTTCCAGGCAAAACTTCAGGCCAAAAGAGACACTTGTGGAAGTCAAACTTTACGGGCCGCTTAGTGAATTACAAAAGACAGTGAAATTCATACTAGAGACAGCATTGCAGATATAGATAATTTATTTCATGCGAACGAAAGAAGAAGAAAAATTACATTGAAACTCCTCCAAGGGGATAGGCCTACTGATTGATCGTGATGATTTTTTTAAAGCAAAGCACGAAGGGCGTCTCTAGATACAGTGGGCTGTAGGTCGATTTACCCTACTGACCTGGCGCTATGATCGTGACGGTGGTATGATTTGTGTGCTTGTTTATTACCAATGTAGTTTGCTGCGGCATCTGGTGATAACCGTTAGAGAGCGAAGGGTGATCAATCTCACTTATCGACATGGATATGATAAGACAACATCTAGTGAATTGAGGTGGAGGCGGTCACCTTAGCCAGAGAAAGGCTACAGAGCCATTTGCACGCACATGTCGTTTTTTTTTTTTACTCAAAGAGCATGTTAAGAAAGGTGGAGACGGATATGCTCCGTGCTAAGAGCCTTATGGAATTCCATAAAAGATAATCAACACAATTTCTCTCCTCTATAAAGACTTTTCCTGCAGTATAAAAAGTTACAATAAATCTTTTCCAGTAAAGACAAGGTGTAAGACAGGAATGAGTTATGTCACCCCTCCCCTTCAATCTTGTGATTGATTTGATACTAAAGAACACAGTAGACAAGGCATCAAGAGGCATACGGTGGACTCCATTCACCAAGCTTGAGGACCTTGATTTTGCAGATGATATAGCACTCCTATCACATAAACATGAACATATACAAGAGAAAAGTAACAGACTACTCAGCACAGCAGCAATAGTGGGACTGAGAATAAATACAAAGAAAACTAAGATCATGACAAAAGTCCAAACCAACAACCAGTGTCCATAAATAACCAAACACTTAAAAATGTAGAACATTTCACATATCTTGGCAGTGTGGTGTCCCTACTGGGAGGGACAGAGAAAGACATACAGTCACACCTGAACAAAGCTACAGCTGCTTTTGGAAGGATAAGTCAAATCTGGAAATCCAACAGTTACTGCAGGGGAGCGAAACTCCGACTCCTCGAGAGCGTCGTTTTGCCAGTTTTTCTTTGTGGAGCAGAATACTGGAGAATGACCAAAAAATATGCACACAAACTATCTACCTTCCACCACACAAGTCTACGTAGAATTATCAAAATTTTCTGGCCACATATAATCTCAAACACTAAACTACTTCTAGTCACAAACCAAGAAACCATAGACAGTATGATAACCAAGAGAAGATGAAAATAGCTTGGCCACGTTATGAGAATGAATCCTGATATACTTGCCAAAACAGCTCTCATATAGATATCAGAGGGACAGAGAAAAAGGGGTGTCCAAAAAAGAGCATAGAGACGAACGATGGAAAGTGACCTGAGTGCGGCATCTCTGACATGGAAAACTGCACTGAAGATTGCGCAGGACAGGAAAGTATGGAAAGTCCTCTCTGAAGCCCCATCTGCCACTAGGCATAAATAGAATTGAATGTATTAATTGTATACCATGGTAGGAATATAGATTATCATATTCAGTATGTTTTAAATGTACTTTCAAGAAATTATAGGTAGACTCCGTAGTCTTTTTTCTGTGGATAATTAAAGTGATCTGGGATACCATAATTCTGTCTTAAGATATCTTGGTAATCTTAGTTGTATGGCAAAGGGGTCACCAAATAGTTGCTCAGCTCTTAAGAAATATTAACACCTCATATAGTAACCCTTGTTCTTGTGAGGTACTGTTTAATCCTTTCCTGTAGTTCTCTAGAGTTTAGAGCCATCTACTCCCAGTATGTTTTCTGTTGTCTTAGGCTTACTGCAACGGAACACATATTCATTAAGGGGAGTCCTTTGAAATTCATATTTTATTGTAAATAGTGTTTAATGTCATTACCAGACATAAAAAAATGTTTTCTACTATATAGAAATAAGCTACGCCAATTTGCATTTTCAACTATCTCTTATTTTTAGTTCACTCGTTATTTGACATTTTTTAGTTGTAGCCTTAAACAATTTGTAGGCATGTCTTCATTTTAAGCTCCCATTCCACATCCTTATCCATCATTTTGTTATCCTTTTTTTTTTTTTGAATTACTGATTTTAAATTACCCTTAATATTAAGGTCACAGCTACATGTATTTTATTATTATTTGCTACACACTGTCTGTCCTTTCATTTTCTTCAATTCTCACATGTGCTAGCATCCATATAATTAGTACCGAACAACTTCTTGTTTTTAGATAAGTTGTAGCCAAGACGATCTCCTCCTTGATGTCACTTCTACTAGATTTCTTTGTATGTAGACAGTAGGCACTAAGTTACTCCTGAAATACCCTGCACTTGTACGCATTTTACCAAACCAATATAAAGAAGATTTCAAATTGGGCAGGGAGATAATGCTTACGATGTTTAGGGATCCTCAATGACTGGTGCTTGCCCTTTTCTGTAAGGAAGTAAAGTATATAACAAGTGCAGCAATTTAAATATTTGGGGAGCATCTTCACAGATGATGGAAGAATTGATAGAGAACTTGAGGCAAGATGTCAAAAGCCGAACGCAGTAACTTACCAACTCTCCCCACTGCTAAAACACCCAAGCATCACTATGGCACTAAAACGACAACTGATAAATTTCATGTTTATACCAACCCTCTGCTACCAATGCCAAACCTGGTCCCTAACAAGAGCACAGGAGAAAAAGATCACGACTTGCGAAATGAGATGCTTACGTAAGGCTGCCAATGTCACAAGGAGAGACAGAGTTCGAAACGAGAACATTAGAGCAATTGTAGGAACCACACCATGCCTGCAATACATAAAGAAGCAACAAATAGAGTGGTTTGGCCACTTGATGCGAATGCAAACCGACCAACTGCCTCTACGAGCATACAACGAACAGCACTACTGCCCTAGAGCAAGAGGCAGACCGAGAGTACGCTGGATAGACAATATATCAGAGATCCTGAGGCAACACGGACTAACAACAACACGTGCAACACACCTGGCCCATGATAGAAAACTGCGACTCCCCACTACGCTGTGAGGCAATTGTGGACAAGACAAGAAAAAGTATATATATATATATATATATATATATATATATATATATATATATATATATATATATATATATATATATATATAAAGTGGAGCATTCGGAGCATTTTCTAAACGTAGCGCGCCGCTATGAAATTAACACTATGTGGGTTAAATAGTCCCCACTCCCCTTTGTCCCCCGTACACATTTCGGTACATCTCACGTTTTCGGGGACAAAAAAGAAAGTGAATCCCTTTCCAGTTCATAAACTGCCGTGTCGCAGGGCTTGTGCTATGTTGCAGAGGTGTCAAGCTGAGTGACCGGCCAACAACACGCAGAATTGTTGTCACCGGTCGGCGATATTGCATGTTTTTTATTACATGATTTGAGCGTTTTTAATGATAAAAAAAAAAAACATGCAGAACTGGCCCTAACGCACACAACCGCCCCCACCCCCCGGGACGTCCCACGAGAGAGTGCAGCCTACATCTATTTCTGCATGTTTCGGTTTAGTAACACCTATTATTTTCAAAAACAACAAAAACAGTCCGGAAAAAAGTAATGGGTATATGAAAACATAAATAGGCAATGTTTGTTAAACTAATGCCTCTGAATTGATTTCCAGTAATGTCAGCTCTGTCCCTTTATGGAAGCTAGTTTTTGCAGTTCCTCTCCAGTTTAATGACAACCTTAAATAGGTCACGAGTGTCTACTGGTGTAATATAATGTAATGTAATTGTGTGTGGGTGTGTGTGTGTGTGCGCGAGGTCTCTTTTTAGTTTTTAGTCATGTCTGTTCCACTGCAAAAACATTTTAGTTATAAA